AATTCAGCTTATCCCTGTCTGAGAGATATTTTTTAAAAAAAATAAAATAAAAATTATGGTATTGAGGAAGGGAATAATGGTATAAGAGTTGGAGGCTGCATGGAAATCATTCCTTCAGCAGAAGCTAAAACAATTTGGGGAGGGTGGGGATGGGCTCTGCTGACACCTGCACCCAGAACTGCCATGGAAACTGCCTAATTTTAACCCCAAATCCAGCTTATCCCTGTCTGAGAGATATTTTTTAAAAAAAATAAAATAAAAATTATGGTATTGAGGAAGGGAATAATGGTATAAGAGTTGGAGGCTGCATGGAAATCATTCCTTCAGCAGAAGCTAAAACAATTTGGGGAGGGTGGGGATGGTCTCTGCTGACACCTGCACACAGAATTGGAGTGGAAACTGCCTCATTTTAACCCCAAATCCAGCTTATCCCTGTCTGAGAGATTTTTTTTTTTTTTTTAATAACATAAAAATTATGGTATTGAGGAAGGGAATAATGGTGTAAGAGTTGGGTGCTGCATGGAAATCATTCCTTCAGCAGAAGCTAAAACAATTTGGGGAGGGTGGGGACAGGGAGCTCTGGGGTTCTGCTGACACCTGCACCCAGAACTGCCCCATCTTAACCCCAAACTCAGCCTGAAAGTTATTTTACAGCCACACCAGGCAAGTTGCAGTCAGATAAAATCCCTCCTGCTGTAACCACTGGGACAAAGTGGATTTCCTGTCTTTCCAGAGCTGAGTGGATCCGGCGCTCTGAGCCCAGTAACAAACACAGACACGCTCCTTGAAGGGGCTCTGCACTTCCCTCCAGGGAAGGGAATTATCCAAAATATGAGATAGTGGCTGGTGAAATTCAATAGGAGCCCTGCTAGAGGTGGGGGAAGAAAATGGGGGTRATTGAAGAATGGTGTGTTCTGTGAAACGCCCTGATTTGTTGTGTGTGGGTTTCCACGTGCAGGAAGTTCTGCAGGAAGAAGGATTTTTGTGAGCTTTGCTCAGGTAAAATGTGTCCCAGGCAATATTTCTGGCTGGGAAATGTTTGCTGAAAGGGCTCTCTTGTTTTCCAGACAGAGTGAACTGGAGGGAAAAAAAACCAAAAAAAAACCCAACAAACCCAACCTTATTTACAGCAGATTTGTGGAATTTTTTTATTGTGAGGGTGGTGGGGAACAGGCTGCCCGGAGAAGCTGTGGATGCCCCATCCCTGGAGATGTTCAAAGCAACTCTGGAGTGGCCTTGGGGTATCTTTGGARTTTAATTATCTCCATTAACTGGAAAATCACTGTGCAAGGGCATGGAGAAAGTGAGGATTAACAACAGAGGGGTCGTAGGATACAGAACGTGTAAAATAAATCTCAGCCTCTGCTCCATCAGCATCTGGCTGGGCAGATAAAGAGCCCACAGAGTCTGGGACTCTCAGGAAAGGATTTCTGTCCCTCTGTTTAGGAGAGGCAGCACAGATAGAAAGGCTCCAGCACATTTTTCTGTGTTTATGCAGTCACCCCCATTCCCTGTGGGCTCTCTGCACTGGCAGAAAGTCTCTTTTTGCTCTTTTAACTTTCTTTTTGCTGTTTTAGCTCTCACTGACTGCCTGGGGAAGAGCTGCCAGATTTCCCCCATGCCATGGAGTGCTCAGATTATTTATTGAGAATAAGGCATGGAAAACTCTGCCAAACATCCCCAGGTAGCTCCCCTTTCTCTTGTGAGGAGGATGATGCAGCCTGATGTGTTTTTCTGAGAAAAATCAGAGCAGGTCAGAGATTTTGCTCCCAGACTTTTGGCCTTGCTTTCAAGATTCTTGGCACCAGAGGTTCAGAGGTCAAACKCTTTGATGTCAGGAGGGAAATGCTCCTTCTCAAAACACTAAAATCTCAGGGAGCAGATGGTTTAATGAAGAAAGTGCCTGAGCTCCAGAAGATCCCACAGGTGAGATCTCRTAGCTTATTGCTCAAAATTCAGAGCAGGAAATGTTCAGGAGCTCTAATTATGGGTACAGATGAGATCCCATTGATTTGTTTTTAAGTAAATTAGGATTTAATGTGTCAACACTGACAGCTTTCTTGAAAGGGAAGATTTATGAGCCTTTTTCCTGGATGAGGAGCTGATTTTGGTTTGTGTGAGTAGCCARGAGCCTGAAAGTTTTCATCTCCAAACAAACTGCTTCTACAGGTTGCAAACTTTCCAACCACAGTGGGGAAGAGATGATGTGCAGGTTAATTGGTTTAAGAGAAGAATATGAGTAAAAAGGTACTCCTGCTCCACAGTGATTTGTGTTTCAAAGGATATCTTGATGCCTTAGGATTTTTAGTTTCTGTATTT